TTGTCTGCTGGCTCCCTCAAACTCTACCTCTGTCAAAATCCTGCCCTGGCAGGTGTGGGGAAGAATAGACGCCGAACTTGAATGAATACCCACATCTGTTTTTGGAAAGGGGGAACAGAAGCATCACAGAAGGAAGTAAAAGAGATAATTGCTGGCTTGAACTACAATGCATTTTACTTGTGGGCAGAGGGCCAGCATACAGCAGGCAAAATATGCAGGCCCATCTTATTGGAATTCAGGGGTGGGCCTCCGTTCCTGTCCGGAGACAGCTGTAAACCAGCAGCCCATGGCATCCCAATCAGGCACGGAGTTTTGTCAAGGAATGCTGATATGAACAGAAGCAGCTCCGTCGGCTCTGCCTTCTCCCCTGCCTGGTGCGGTGACAGTCAATCTCTGATTCCAGATGACAAGAACTGGATAAAAACTTCAAACAAATGGCGACCTTTCCAAAGATTAATTTGTTTACCAACAAAATATTCCCTCTTTGTCATCTGAAATGGGGGTGACCTTCACTTTGCCACATCTAGGCTGGAAGGATGCTGACTGCAGTCATCTGTTAAGTTAACTCCATCTCAGCAATTATTCCCTTTTTTATTTTTAGTGACAAGAGGGTTTATTAATTCACTCTGCTTCTTGTTATGGTTTATAAATGCAACAAGCTCGTTCTGAATTACTGCAGTGTAACATCAATTTGTTTAAATCTAATTCTGCTACCGTTGCCAAATGATGTTGTGACTGTAATTGTGGCCATATGCATGGGCTTAAAACACAATCATGGCTTGAAATCACCCCACCCCCGCTTGTGGTACTTCTTCTAATCATTTGACATTAACACAATTGCCTCACTTTCCATTACTTTATCATCTCAGAAATGATTGTGCTTTCAACGGGAGCAATTGCTCTGCACACACCGAGTGAAACAGTAAAGGATGAAGCTATGATTTGTGAAGTGTGGTTGCTACCCAACCACGTTAGTGAGAAGCACTGCATAACGTGTGAGTCATAAAGCCGAGAAGTCATCAGAGCATTAAATCCAACCTCATGAATAAATAAAAGGTTCTAAGTTTACATAGCATTATATATTTATTTATTTGGAAAGTGGGACCAAAGAACTGGTATAATTCTCCAGCAACTCATAGCTTGCCAAAAAGAAAAATGTTTTTATGACTCTTTTCTAGGTCATAACAGTTGTAATCAGAGTTATTTGTGCGGCAATTCACAGCGACGTTTTGTTTGGCTATTCTGTTATGCATTCATAATCGTTCTTTTAAAATTCATGTTAACAGTTACATGTTTCAAGCCTTTTAAGAAACCCTTTTTATTTGGAAAAAAAATAAATCAAAGTCAAATTTTCACAGATCTTTCAGTGCATTGCACCCACCGAAAGGCCTGACTGGAAGGAGATGCTGTGAGCAGGCAAGAGCAGCATCAGCGTTTGCCTCCCGCCTCCCGCCTCAGTGAGAATCCAGCAATTGCATGGAACAGGGTTGTTCAGCTTTTACTTAGCGCATTTAAGATCCTAAAATCATTAGTGGTTTTGTATTTCGTGCTTTTTTTAGAAATTGATTTTATGTAAAAAGGGTCACAGAAAATAATGTTCTAAAGGCAAGTTCTGTGGTATGATTGTATGGTGTTGCATGTGTGTGTGTTTGTGTATGCATATGGTGTTGCATATGTGCATGTTCGTGTGTGCGTGTGCGTGTGCGTGTGTGTGTGTGTGTGTGTGTGTGTGTGTGTGTGTGTGTGTGTGTGTTTAATGCACTAACATCTTCCATTAGCTCCTTATGGTAGGGAGGGAGACACCTCCTCATCAGATGAAAAATACCACCAGCTTCCAGGAACTAATAATGCAAACCATCTATGTATTCATATTTGCTCGTCAAAATGCCTGAATTATTTGCAGACTTTGGACAAGCTGTTCAAGTTGCACAGACATAAGGCAGTGTGTGACCTCGGCAGCCAGGCAGCCTCCCGCCCTGAGTGTGAGGAGGTACTCCGAAAGACCAGCCTCGCTGCTGCTTCTCCAGTTAACTGAGTGTCACCATGATAGACACATGGCCACAGCTTGGGGAGGTGCTTTTAAAAACATGCTTTTTAAAATAAAAGGTGAATTCCAGCTGTATTTTACCAACAGGTGTACTACATGATTGTTTAAAACCAGATAACTGAGTATTTCCCACAAAGAGCTTTCTGAGGAATGCCTCCATTTTGTAAATCCAAACAAAACTATCGCTCTGATAGTGGCATCTGATATCTAGACCAACACAAAATGACAGGTCAACTATTTTGACAGAAAGGCAATAATTTGATCAAAATCTACACAATGTATGTCCAATTTTAAAGTGGCCTGCTGTTGATTTTTATGGGGTCATTTTCATGAAAAGGATCTTTAATAAATGAGTATGTGTTATTAACACGTCACATGGGGCAGTGAGCTTTCTCAAACTGTCACTGTTGCAATGTCATTGGAACAGTACCCATGCTGCTCATTCTACTTGTAAATCTTTAAAAATATAACTAACAGCTAAGATTACATCCTAAATGTAGGACTGCTTCGAATTCCTTACTTAAGTCTGAGTCTTGGAGTCACAAAGCAAAGCGTAATCCCCATGTGTCTCAGTAGACCTCTAGACACTTGCGTCCTCGACAGAAAGTTTGAGTGCCGTGCGGCAGTAGCCCCGGGCTGCAAAGCCGCAGCACACCACCAGCTAAGCCAATATTAATTCTAGATCGAGGAGGAAAACCAACAACAACAAAAGAGAAATCTGTTGCTGTCTGTAGAGCCAGAGAAGTAATATTTTTACTTCAAGGACTTTGGGGCTCCTGGGAAGCAGATAAAAACCTCTTCACATTATTCACACTGACATTTTAAATAAAGTTCCAACAGGAATAAAAATATCTAACTTTCTGGTTATTTCTTAGGCTAGGAAATATTTCTAGGATAAAGTGCTCTTAATCCAAACCTGTAAGAATAATGTAAAGCGAAAACAGAGGCCAGAGTGACTGAGTGCCACGGATGATCTAGGCAGTTGAAAAACAGAGGAAACGTGGATGATTTAATCTGAGATAATTAAGCAAGTTAGAAATGGTTTGACAAATTTAGTCCTAAAATTAATCTTGTTCTTAGTTATAATTCCACTAAAATATACATTTAAGAGCTCTGAGAGGAGCCAAAAGTTATAAATGTCTTTTCAAAATACATAGATTTCACCTTAGAAATTGCTGTTAGTATTAGAAAAGATGCCAAATAGTTTCCTAGTTAAGACAAAGCCGCTAGATGTTCCAGTAAATCCACAGCCGGAAGAGGCCAGTCCTCCCTCTGGAGCACCTCAGCCACGAGCCAGCAGCAGTGGGTGCCGCCGGCTCTCAGGCTGCTGCGTGGGATGCTTTGTCTCCAGCACTTTGCTGCAGAAGGAAATGCTGCCCCGCTTGCTTTGGGTTGGGAATTCTTGCTTACGTGTCGCACTGTTACGAGGGCGTGCCCCTAGGAAGGATGCTCCGAGGTGGTCTCTCTTTGCTTTTTCTAATGGGAAGAGACTGCTGTGCAAACTGTCCTAATTCCTCTACTAAGTCTTCTTGTTGTTAACTTTTCCTCCTTGTTAAATTATGCCACTAGCTCATTCAAAAAGTGTCAATCACAACAAAAAAATCAGAATGAACTACAAATAGATCTTTTAAAATATGTCTACATTTTTCATAATCCTTACTAAATTACAGACAGAATGAAAGCCACTTCATTTCATTTTTTTAAAATATCCTAAGGACAAAAGAATCAGTCTTACTTAAAAATCTGCAGTCTATCTTACACCACTACTAAGCGGCCTGAAAGCTGTTTTAGAATTAGGAGTTCGTTAGAGCAGCTCATCCCTTACCTGTGCTTTCCTCCGGTTGATATATGGCAAACTGATCCCATAGTTGGCATTTACAGCAGCTCTGTGGTGCATGTTCTCTGGATCCTTCAGGATCTTTACATTCAACTCTATCTTTGGCTGAAACAAAGAAACAATGAAACTTTTATGTAAAATAAACAAAAATGCTTACTAACATGTTATATCCTTCAAGGAATATAAAATTCTTGGAAAATAAGAAGTTTAATGCAATTCTCACTGAAACAAAACTAGATCTTTTATTTAGGCTACTAATCTATCCTTTTTTATTTGGAGAAAAGGAAGATTTTCCTCGGTGTGTTTTATTTGTGCGCAGTTACATCCTCAGATGCCATTCATCTACTCAAAAACTAATGCTCCATGTCAGCCAGGATGGACAAAGGACAAGAATCTCTCATCTCCAGGCCAAGGACTAAGTAAATAAAATCTATACTCCGGACACGCAGGTAGAGGGCTCTCTTGGTCTGTTAATGTGGCCACATTCCCTTAGGGACATTTCAGGTAGCTGTTGGATGTGACACATTTTTACCACACCAAATGTGTCTATTGCCTCTGCAGAGATTTTGCCATCGGTAATTAGCACTTTTGTTAGGCAACAAAAAAGCATCTTCTTCCAATGACCTGTTCTTCATTTTAAAGGATTCCTATCAGAATGGCAGTGGTGGAGGGCATTAGAAGGATGTCACAGACCTAGGTGACCACCCTAGCCTGGACTGCTGGGTGGGACTCAGCAAAGTCACCTCACTTCTCTGCAAGTCAGCCCTGTTTTCTTGTTAAGGGCAATAGCTGAGTGTGATGCTCTCATGAGGTGCTGCTGCCCTGAGCATCAGCAGTCTGTGACTTCAGGTTAAATTGACAGTTGGCACTTAGGAATCACTTGTGAGATGTTGTACGACTTTTGTCCCACAATAGAATTTACTGATCTGTGCTTTGGTTCACAAAACTAAGTCAGCTCAGCACTGCCTAGTTCCAAAACATTTGTATCTCCCCAAATGAGGCCTTGCATCCATTAGCAATCACTCTCTAGTCCTGCTACCCCTATCCCAGCAGCCCCTAGGACACTTTCTGTCTCGACTCATAACTAACTCTATTCTGGACGTTTTGTACAAACAGGAGCACAATATCTGGGCTTTGCAGCAACCCAACAGACTGCTCCAGAGTCCGCGTGTTTCTTCCAGCTCAAGCATTCATAAGAAGACTGAGGTCAACGTGAGGAGGAGCCTACAGAAGGAATGGAGGGCAGGTCTTGTCAGGATGAGCTCGTTTCTAACACATGCTCCGCACTTCCCTTCTGTTTTCAATTGCTCCTGAATAACCAAACCTCCAGATAACTGTCCTCAACTCCCTCCGCATTTAACCCATGGAAACCCATGTCACAAACAAGGCACTTCTGTGACTGTCTCCTTTAAGTACATGTGGTAGCAGAAGTAAGGTGGAGCCCGGTTACGGCTGGCTTTCTGTTGGCGGCTAACCCGCACCCCGGCACTCCTCCGGCGTGTTTACAGAGAGCCAAGTGCCTTTTTAAAATTGAAATTAATACCTGAACATAATTTTTTCCTTCTTAATTAAACTTTCAGGATAATTTCCATTCTACCAAGGATCAGGAAATTGCTAATATGTATTATATTGACTGGATGTGGTTTCTGTAATTAGGATGCTTTAGGAACGTGGATTGTGGATACAATTGATAGTAATGACTTCATCTATCATGTCTCAGCTTTGCTAGAACTTTTTAATTCTGGGATCACTGGCTCAGTGGACCAGAGAGGCTTTCTTAGCTTTATCAGGCTCCATCAACTTTGTGTGGCTACAGGACAGGCTTGGGGAAGGGATGAGCGGAAGTGCTGTGAGCACCGCATTAAGACTCAGTTGTTCTCTGCCCTACTTTACACCTCTGGGCACAGATATTCTGGAACTAAGTCAGACAGAAATGGTAGGTGGGAATACTGACTCTCATGGTGGGCTCCTAGAACAATGTGCCTAAAATCGTTAATGGTCTCATCTTCACCATTTTGGCACCAAAGCATGAGTTTATCAAAATGATAATTCATAGCTTGCATGATTTGATTTCTCTTTTAAAATACTTGATTCTGGGCATGGTGACACATGCCTATAATCCTAACATTTGGGAGGTGGAGACAGAAAGATTAGAAATTCAAGGCCAGCCTTGGATACATGAAAACCTGTCTCAAAAATAATAAAATAATATAAAAGCAAATACTGCCGGTGGGATGGCTCAGTGGGCAAACACACTTGCTGCGAAGCCTGACAACTGGAGTTCCATCTCCAGGTCCCACACGTAGGAAAAGAGAACCAGCTCCTGAGTGTTGTCCTCTGACCTCTATACAAGCACATGTGCATGAATGAATGAATGAATGAATGAATGAAAAATGAATAAATGAATGAATAAATTTTAAACCTAAGTAAAAATATATGTCAGGCTGGGGGTATAGCTCAGTGGTAGACTACTTGCCTAGCACCTGAGAGGCCCTGGGTTTGATGCCCAGCAATGAAACAAATATTGAAGATGGCTTCACTGAAAGTCATGATCAAATAGATTCAATGCTTAAAGCTGTCTTATACAGTCTCTAGGATGCTTTGCTTATCAGCTTAGGCTGTATTGTCAGATCTAATAATAAGAGTTTAGTTTTCTACGAAAAACAATTATACATCAAAAAACCAAAAGGAAGGCCGGGCGGTGGTGGCGCACGCCTTTAATCCCAGCACTCGGGAGGCAGAGCCAGGCGGATCTCTGTGAGTTCGAGGCCAGCCTGGGCTACCAAGTGAGTTCCAGGAAAGGCGCAAAGCTACACAGAGAAACCCTGTCTCGAAAAACAAAAAAAAAAACAAAAAAAACCAAAAGGAAATGAATCGTTCCATTAAGCAAAAAAGCTACTCTCTGGAAGATGATCTTTCACCGGCAGTAAGAGAAATATCAGAAATAACTTCAGAAAATTTTCTTCAATTGGTCAAGAAAAGGCAGCAATTTCTTTCATCTATTTTGAATCACTAAACAATCTAAAATTTGCATTCTCTCCTTTTGATAGTAATTACAAGCAGATATATCAAATGTGACTCTCATTTAGACTTTGGTTTGTAAGAACAAAACTTATTATCAAAGCCAATTACTGTTTTACCTACATGGCTGCACAGAAGCGGGGCTCAATTTTCATCTCATCAGTGATTTTGTGGTATTTATTTTATTACTATGCCCACAACGCCATATAAGAAGGAAATGGCTTATGCTATTAAAACTAGGGCTGGAATACAAGAGGCTAAGGTTGCTTCTAGAAGAACTTCTGAATTAAAAACACTAGGCAGCATGTAATGCCAGCTCCCCAGACATGGGTAGACCATAAAACAACACACAGCTATCCGAGCAGTAGCTCCCACACAGAGTAATCAAAATTGAAATGCTTCACAAACAAAGTTGAGAGAAGCTATTTGCCAAGTTACAGTATTATCAGCAGAACACTGCTCTCAACAGTGTCTGCCCCGAGTAATGTCTTCTAAAGTGGATATTGCTTAATGCTGTATTCCCACTGGTAAAAGAGTCTGCCATTTAAATCTAAGAGCCAGAGAAAGGACAAATAGGAAAATAATTCGGTCACCTTCCATTCGTTCTTACAACCATGGTTTTATGTATTGAAAAGAGCAGTAGACGGTGAGTCTCAGTTTGAGCCACATGAGTTAAATTTCTCATCTGTAACATGGGGAATAATATCAGACTTCACAGGGTCATTTGTATGATTCAAATGACTGATATCTGTTGAGTATCTCATAAATTATAAAGTGCTATTCAGGTGGAAACTTGAAAAGAGAGCTTACTGGCAGGTGGGGGAGGGAGACCACAGTGGACTGAAATACTTCAAATATATTAAAACCGTGAGTTCTTACTGGTCATCCTCCAAAATACCTAATGGTAACACCAACAAATTAACTTGGAATTTGGAAAATAAAAAGGAGTTAAGCATTTAGCCTACTTTTCCTTTAAAACTCTATTTCATATTCACCAAAAATGGTCTTCGTAGACGCTAATAAACGCTGAAGGACTGGCAGAATTCTAAAACCACTACAGTCCCGAATGCAGTCGTGCATCCAGGTAGCATTGATGATTGCTAAGGTCGCTCGTGGTGGACAGCTGTAGTTTTATAAGGGGCAGAGCTTACTTACTAGACTGACTGACTACTGACTAGAGCTGGACTCACTGATCAACTATAGCATCATTAACAGAGTCAAGATACCATAAAACCAGGCATGGCAGCTCAGGCCTGTAATCTCAGGGTCATCCTTGGCTGCATGGTAGTGTAAGGCTGGCCTGGACTATGGAAGACTGTTGAGAGACAAGGGGGGCGCAGACTTTGTTCATAGAAGACAGGGATGAGGGGAAGGAGGTGAAGAGTGGCAGAAATCATGATGGCTGTTAAAGCCAGGTGACAGTTAGGTCCATTTCATTGTATATTTGTGTCTATTCAAAAATACTTCTTAATAAGTCATTAAAGTTATGGTATAGTTAACATGTTTAATTTCTTTTTATCAGCTTTTCATTCTAACATCCTATTCTCAATGGCTTCCCTCCTTGCCTCCCTGTCAGAGAGGAAGGCTCAACAAGCAGAACCCCCCCCAACCCCTCTCCCAGGCTCAGCAGCACCAGTTCTGTGCTGTTTACAAATAGCCGGACTCTAGCCTGATGCCTCAAGTTATCAAAGCTGTAAGGATAACCACTGCTTTCCAGATGCGTCTGTCCTTTTCTCTAAGAACAGAAGACTGAGAGCAAATACTTACTCAGCTTACTCTGAGCCAGGAACAAGTAGGTAGGTACTGTCACATCCAACTTCAGCTCCGCTTAAAATGGAGAGAGGAAGTACTCAACAGCTGCCTACCTTCCAGCGAGGGCAACCGGGCAAGAGACTGCTAAGCCTTATGACCTGCCAGCGGGGAGGCTGATTTGCCGCTGACCCCAGGTCTCTGTCCATCACTGGGATGGACAATAAAGAGAGGCTTCCTTGGGAATGTCGGTCTAGGATGGTCTTTCTTAGGAGATGGTAATGACATTAAGACCTGAGTGAAGAAACTCAGTCAGTCATGCAAGTATCTGGGATTCCCCGAGGAGAGAGAAACTAACTAGTGAGCAGAGACAGCTGCGGAGGCCAAGGCCACTGGAAGCTGGCCTTCACAACCGGGAGGAGCACACTTCTTCCACTGTGGCTGGAAGGAAGAGGAAGAGGCGCTCATCTGCTCCCCTCCCTTCAATGACTGTGACAGTAAGGAGGAAAGAGAACAAGCTGGAGGGCAGGTGGGGGATGTGCAAGGGATTTCAGTACCGAAAAGTGAGAGCATCACTGTGCTGAGTTTAGTGTCACTTGAAACCCAGAGGCCATAAAAGTGAAGTCAGGGCAGTCCACACCACTATGAGATGTGCTCCAGTCACAGACAGCAGAGTCGGGAGATGGACTAGGATTCTGTGAGCGCGTGATTATAGCGCTGCGCCACTGACTCCGATGTTAAGCGGGGGAAGCCCTTTTGGGTCCCTTGTCACGTGCCAGAGTAGATGACTGCTGGAATTCTTTAGTCCCACAGGGAAGCCACCAGGGACCTTCCCTCTCCCGCTATACTATCCCCAGAGGCTGCCGCCATGCTTGTCACCTGCGCAAAGCTGGCTGCCATGGTTTCAAAGGCCATGCTTGTTTCTAGCAAAAGGAAGAGGGAAACAGGAACAGCAAAGCGATGTGGCATCTCTGACTGTCCCCTTCATCACAAAGATGAGCAGATGACTCCACTAGACTACTGCTCAGTCCTCCTGGGGTGAAGTGGGTCCCACCACTACACTGCACTGCAGGGAAGGCAGAGAAATGGATGATCTTAGCCATGGTAAGGAGCACAAGGAGCCCTGTCGGTGATGGGCATGGGGACACACACTGTGTAGAAAAGAGCCTCTGCTGTAACTGTGGAGTCTAACTAGCTGAGCAGGAAAGGAAGAAAAGAGCAGTAAGACATGAGGTCACATGGTCAGTGGTTGTAGGTCCTCACAGCGGCAAGAGTTGCTAGAAGCAGCTGGGGATGCTCTGAGGTGATGCTCTTCCTGGTTCTGACACAGCCGGGACCCCAAGTTCAGGGCAGGTTTCCCACACTGCTGTACGGGCCCTGCCCCACTGTTTGCTGAATGCCTGTCTCAGGACTGTGGGTTCCCACAGCTCACAGCACATAGCAGCACTGAACCCAAAACACCTGAGGTGAAGAGTAGCTCATGGGGTGAGGAAAGGCAAGGTAAGGTTTGTGTTTGCGTTCTTACAGTCTGCCACAGTGACACAATTATTAGTTTACAGGGTGTTGTGCCAAGGGTGACATTCTGTGCAACTTTTTAAAAACTTTTAATTACATTTATTTATTTATTTATTTATTTATTTATTTATTTATTTATTTATTTATTTAGGGGTTACAGGGGTGTGGTGAGTGTCAGGGGACCACTTTGAAGAAGTCAGTTTCCTCCTAGGATGTGGGGGCAGGTGATCCAACTCAAGTCATCGGGCTTGGTGGCTAGGGTCTTAACTTGCTGAGGCATCTCACCAGCCCCCAAATATTTGTAACACTCCAACTTTTATTTTTCAATGAAGTCCTAGTATGTTATTCAAGTTGGCCTTGAGCTCATCATACACACACACACACACACACACACACACACACACACACACACACACACACTCCTGGCATCCTGTGCAATAGTATGTGCTGTTTATGGAACTCAACCTCGGCTGGCTAATAGTGTAGAACCTACAGCATCTTCATGGTCTTTCAGAACAGAGGGACCCAACTTCTGTCCAGTGTTTACAGCACACAGGCTGCTGCTCACTCCATGGTCCCCGTGCTATGAATTCTTTTAGATGTTGGTGGCCAGAGAATAGTGGCTCTCCTGGCAATCTGGCTAACACGGCATTTGAAATTGGGGTGCCACTTTCCAGATATTAGTTGACTACAGTACGCCCTACAATAAAATCTGGGCAGCAGGCCGGCAAGATGGTACAACCAGGAAAGACGCTGCTGTCAAGAAGCCGAGTTCAGTCTCCAGGATGCACACCCTGGGCAAAAAGAATGGACTCTGTCTCGCAGCCATCCCAACCTCCACATGTGCACCCTGGCACGTGTGCTCCCAAACTCCACACAAACAAGAAAGTGATAGTAAAAATAAGTCTTGGTAGTAGTTCATACTTCTGGAAAAATGATATAAATAAAATATGCAATTAGTTGAATCTTCTCATGGAAATACCATTAATGGTATAGGCTTACAGGCCTATTTCTGAGACCCAATAGACAACCCCAGTTCAGTAGGAATCATGTGCCATCAGTTACAACTCAACTGCACTATAACTATAAACCTCTTCAAAGAATGTGTAGTACATATGCACACCAACTAAACTGTGACAAATGACAGTAAAAGCACGTGTCTGGCAGTCTCCCAAAGTACTACATAATTCTAATGCGATTCAGAGTGAAGTCAGTATTACTGTAACGAACCAGAAAGTAAGACCAAGAAACACCCCCGACCACTGCGTGTTCAATTTCTGATCCACTTTTGGTCATTATTCAGAAACCTTTTACAATTGCCAAATTCTCTGTGACCCCTACATTTCAAAACACAGCCTACAGTTGATCTGG